GTCCGGATCTCAATGGGGAGATCGTTCCATAGGGCCGGAGCAGCCACAGAGAAGGCCCTCCTCCGAGGAGTCGCCAGCCGACATTGGCCGGCAGATGGAATTCGGAGGAGGCCTAGTCTGTGGAATCTAATAGGTCTTTGGGAGGTGACTGGCAGGAGGCGGTCTCTCAAGTCTCTGATAACTAAGTTCTTAATGTAGTGGCTTCCTAAGGGCCAAATTATATATTATGTTAAATTTATGTTTTCTTTGAAATACTTCACTATTTCCGTTTCTCAATCATTCAAACTCAGTCCTGCCTCACCCTGTTGCAGCAGTAAAAATCTCATGTCTTCACCCAATACAATTTTGCACAAAAAGCGAAAACAAACAAACTCAAAAATCTAAACAGCCTCGTGCTTTGTACATGGCTCATCTCCTGCCTAAGACACAGGGGGAAGTGACAGTGTATCAGCAGTTTTACTTCAATCACTTTATGTGAGCTACTGAGGGGGAGAATATAATTATCATGCCAACATTTCCCTCATGCTAATATTCCAGAATTGAGAGGAAGGATGAGACAGCAATTCTCTCAAATGGGGAAACTATCTTCCCACATTTTGGAGATCTCCTGCATTTTCAAATAAAAATCAGCTCCATGGAATCTTCCTTCTGCATTGTAGCTAACCTGGAAATAAGATCACAAACTGGCTTGGGAGTGTTGTAAGCTACCGAGATATCCTACCTAGGACACCATGAATGATAAGTCTTCTCTTAAGTAGTTGCCTGATTCATCTCATGGGTGAAGAAGAGCACAGGTTTAGTTAAAAGATTTTCCAGAATGGATACTTATGCAAATAGCACATTAAGCAGGTTATTAAAATTTGGAAAAATACCTTTCCAATAGAAAGAGACATGGATCTTGATGTCCGAGGTACACCATCATCTGTTCCAAAGTATGAAACAAAATCGAATGGGAAAAATGGTGGTAGAAAAGACAAAATACATTATTTAACCAGTCTGTTTTATATTGAAAAGAAGGCTCATATCAAGCAACATTAAATATTATTATAAACTTTGATACAATATTGTTATGATGATCTATATGGAACATCATTTTGGTTGAATCCAAAGGTGCTTTTTCAAGAAGTAATGAGACTTTCTGTTTTTTCTTTGAAGATGTTTCGCTTCTCATCCAAGAAGCTTCTTCAGCTCTGACTGGATGGTGGGGACCATCCATTCAGCACTGAACTGAAGAAGCTTCTTGAATGACAGGCAAAACCAGAGAATGCCCAGTTGGCTCTTGAAAAAGCACCTTTGGGACAACCAAGACTTGGATGACTGAGAATCTCCATAGATATTTTGGTTGAATGTGTTCCAATCTCATAGTTTTTCTGAAGATACTTAAATCAAGATTTTTTTTTAAAAAAATACAGTGTTATGTAAGTGGGGTTTGATTCCAGGTGACTTCATAGTTACGGCCACAATTCAATAACAGCTTTATCACTGCCTTCTTTCCACATTGTTTTTCAGTTCTCATTTTAGCTCTGAGCTCTGGAATTCTCTAGTAATCCATAAAACAGGTACAAAGCAAGCCTGTTTGCACTTAATTTTTAGGCTTTGGGCTGCCTCCTGCTAAGCCTAAATCAAGATGCACAATTTCATTCATATCATATAAATAGATATTTTATATGCACAAGATGTCCCAAAAGTTTCAATGCAGTTTTAAGCTTCCTAAAAAAATATGGTAAGAGTTTTGGGACACCCCATATTATCTATAATTATGTGGGAGAGCAAATAAAGGTTTTACAGCAATACAAAGGTTTGTTTAAAATCTCAGGACATTTTACCTGGAGAACCATAGCTTCTGCTAGAATTCTGATTAGCAAGTTTCTTATACTCCATGAGCTCAGCATGGTCCTTTTCATATGTTCTTTTTAAATTCTCTACATACTGCATCATAACTTCAGTGGCCTTTGACATACGTTTTTCCTGGAAGAAATAGATAAAAACAACGCACATAAAGGTATATTTTAGATATCAAGGAAACAGCAGTATATAACACTATTTAGCTATATTATTTTACTCATAAGGAGACCCTGCCAATTTGGCACGTATTGTAATGAGTATGCCATATAGAATGTCATTTTTTTGTTACTAATATTCAGATAAATGTTCCAGGGAATGACAGTATCCAAATTCTTTTAATCTACGACCCATTAAGGGCAGAAGCTATGATACTATTCAAGGTGATTTCCTGGATGCATTATGAACCCAAGGACTCTTAAAGTATCAGATATTCTGAGATCCTCCATTTTGAAGGCTAGATCCTCAAAATCAACATGTTTATGCCAACTAAACCACATTTTAAACCTTACTATTGCGTACATTTTTCTTGAAAACTACTAATTAGTTTACCTTATTTTATCTATTTATTCTGTGTAAAACTTCATTTACATTTCTACCACATTAGTAAATTGAACGCCTTCAGTCCAAGGTTGCTTAAACTGTAAAGTTATTGTGCATTGTAAGAAAATTTTAGAGCGATATTCTCACAAGGCATGTGATTATGGGCTGGAAAAAACAGCTGCCTGGAACCTCAAGAGTGGTACTGGTATGTGAAAAAATAGGAAGAGAGAGAGAGATGGGGAGAAAGAGAAAGAAAGGAAGACAAAAAGAAAGAGAGAGAGAGAAAGAAAGGGAAAGAGAGACAGGGGAGTGAGTGAGAAAGAGAAATCGGGAGGGAGGGAGACAGAGACAGACAGAGACAGACAGAGAGACACAGAGAGACAGACAGAGACAGACAGAGAAAGAGAGCGAGAGAGCGAGAGAGAGAGAGAGAGAGAGAGAGAGAGAGAGAGAGAGAGA